CTTGGGGTCCTCCCAAGCCGGCCGCCCCCCTGCCATATTTGCCGGAGGAGGGAAGAAAAGGGGGGAGAGGGAAAGGAAGGGGAGGCCGAGTCCCCTCCTTTCCTTCTCCCACTTGGCCGGCTGCCATAGGGGGGGTGCGCCAGCCCCTTGTGGGCTGGTGTGCTCCCCACCAATGGCCCATTAGGCCCACTATCCTCCCGGGGGTGCCCGGTACCCCTTCCGGTACTCCGATAGCTATCTGGTTCTCTTCAAACATTTCCAGTGTCCGAATACCATCATCCCATATATCAATCTTTACCTCTCGACCATTTCAAGACTCTTCGTCATGTCCGTGATCTCATCCGGGACTCCGAACAATATTCGGTCACCAAATCACATAACTCATATAACACTATATCGTTAACAAACGTTAAGCGTGCGGACCCTACCGGTTTGGGAACTATGTAGACCTGACTGAGACACTTCTCCGGTCAATAACCAATAGCGGAACTTGGACGCCATATTGGCTCCTACATATTCTAGGAAGATCTTTATCGGTCGAACCGTTATGACAACATACGTAATTCCCTTTGTCCATCGGTATGTTACTTGTCCGAGATTCGATCGTCGGTTCTCTATACCTAGTTCAATCTCGTTACCGGCAAGTCTCTTTACTCGTTCCGTAATACATCATCTTATAACTAACTCATTAGTCACTTTGCTTGCAAGGCTTCATATGATGTGTATTACCAAGAGGGCCTAGAGATACCTCTATGAAACTTGGAGTGTCAAATCCTAATCTCGATCTATGCCAACCCAACAAACACCTTCGGAGATACATGTACAACATCTTTATAATCACCCAGTTACATGCTGACGTTTGATAGCACACAAGGTATTCCTCAGTTATCCGGGAGTTGGATAATCTCATAGTCCAAGGAATATGTATTTGACATAAGAGAGCAATAGCAATAAACTGAACGATCAATATGCTAAGATAACAAATGGGTCTTGTACATTACATCATTCTCCTAATGATGTGATCCCGTTATCAAATGACAACGCATGTCTATGGTTAGGAAACCTTAACCATTTTCGATCAACGAGCTAGTCTAGTAGAGGCTTACTAGGGACACGATATTTGTTCATGTATTCACTCATGTATTTAAGTTTCCGATCAATACAATTCTAGCATGAATAATAAGCCTTTATCACGAATAAGGAAATATAAAATAACAACTTTATTATTGCCTCTAGGGCATATTTCCTTCATTAATTGCCTTTTGACTGTTATTGATAGCATGAGTTGGAATGGAACACTGTGTGACTGTGTCATTGATTGAAAATCTAGTTTTGTATACAATATCAACCAGATGGGCAAGCTGTGTCTCACAAAATCTATTCACCATACCAATGTATCACTGACCAAATTAATTATGGTTACGTTCTAAGATCACCATCTCATATTATATACAAAAAAATTTCTGCAGGCGATTAGGTACCTTGGAATGCCTAACCTGTCAACCTTAGTTAGGTTCTAGAACTTCAGTGTAATGAGGTATGGAATGAATTCTAGTTATGGAATTAATTGTAGTTCCCTTAAGTGATATGAGTGCAGTGTCATCCTGAAGCAAGATAGTGTCCTTAATTGACATGAGTTTTTGTTGGTTGCCTTTGGCATGCTATACGCTGCTGGAAACTCAGTCTGGAAATGATGTTGCTGTAAATTATAAAGACTTCAATTTTGTAATAATATTTTTTGTATACAAATTCATATTTGAAATATGTATTAGATGTACACAGGTTGCCTGTTACAAATTCTGTTCACCATAAAACTATGGATCATCTCATATAATGATGTTATGTACACATTTTTGTCTGTAGGTGGTTATTAGTTGCCTTGGCATGCCTAACCTCAACCTTTGTATTCATTTAAGCTTTGAACTGACAAGTATAGTTCTGATTTTAGAATTTCGTGGTGTAATGAAGTAACTAATGAATTTTTGCTCACAGATTTTACTAACTCTAATTACTAATGAGTTCATCCTAGAGCAAGACAGTGTCATTGAAGCCCTGGCCTTGATATGTAGTGTCATCTATTTATCAAGAAGATACCACTTAAACATCTTCAATTCTACCACTTGTCCCGCCTGGTTTCTCAAACACATCTGTGGAGGAAAAGGTCCAGTCCCAGTGGTCCAACATCGCGCTTGAACCAAAGGTGCACATTTTGGCATTGTTTCAGTTATATTGTTAAGATGTCAGCAAATGCAGGCAATTATCATATAAGTACCAACTCTGCACTCTGTACCATTAGCTGCTAAGCTGTTTTATTAGGAAAAACAAGTTTAGTTGCTTTCATATTCTCTCCGATTGATGTTCGTTGGTCTAAAAATTGCCGTGAAGTATGGGATGCATTGCTGCCAACAGTTTTTGTGGATTCATCTTTTCTTTTTCAGTATATCATTGACAGGAGCTCAACATAGCATACTAGTGGACTTATCCCTAAGCCTGGCTAGCGCACATGTTTCACTTTCAGGCACACAACACGGTTTTGTTTTTCTCGCATGTGCGCACAGTTCAACGCTAGTGCCATAACAAGACACTTCATCCACCCCAAAGAAAGCACGTTGAAAAACACCAATAGTTTTTAATACATTTTTAGGATTTGCAGAACGTTCAATATTTTTTTTTGAAAAGGAGGCTCACCCTCGGCATCTGCATCTGAGAGATGCATGCGGCCATATTATTAAAAGGTACGAAAGTAACAAAGTTTTAGATTCATTATAGCTCGCAAAAGGAGCAAAAAACGGAAGTACAAAAGGGAAAAACATTGCCACAACCAGCATGATAAATAGGACAAGAACACTAGCCACCTATCCTATTATGAGACCGCCATCCAAACCGGTTGAATATAGCCCGTGCTATCATCTTTCACTGGTTGCACCCAGTAACCAAAGGCTCCCTGGAGTCCATAGGAGTGAGTAAGGACCAGGTACGGATCCACGCCATAGCTCTGAAGATGACCTGCAAGAAAGTTAAAGCGTGTTGTCTGTTAAAAATCATATCATTCCTGCAATTCCATATAGCCCAAATGAGCTCACATATTCCAATCCAAATACGAGACACCGTAATATGATCTACTCCAGCTAGCCTTGTTTCAAATAACACTTCGATGCTAACTGGAGGAGTAATGTTAAAAGCTATATGAATAGTTCGTCAAAGT